GGGGGGGGGGGGGGGTTTGGTCTGTGAGGGACTGAAGGAGACAGATAAAGGAAGACGGAGACAGAAGGCTGAGCAGCAGCAGTGATTGGCCATTCTAGACAACCGGAGCAGAAGTGGGTCTCTGAGGTGTTGTTGTTTGAAAGGCTGGGACCCAGAAAATCAATGGAGGTGAATCTGAATTTCTGCCGCAAAGTGCCGCAATTTTATTTCCCTCCTCCTTTTAAAAGTACAAGCTACAAGGCTTTATTACCGCACCCAGGAAAATGACTTCCCAATCATTTACTGCTGAAAAGCTCCGAAGGCAAAGAATACATCTGAGACACCGCTGTGACGAGGCCCTGGACTTTGCACCGCGAGCCGCCGCACTTATCAAAGTCCAGAAACCGCCGGCCGCAGCAGAGTACACGTCAGACACTCAAGTCAGAGAAAAGCTCAGCGGTGCTTGTTTGATTTGATCTCCTGGAGGATGAGAATCAAATAAGACGCACTGATTTCAACCAGCAGCTTTAATTCATACATATGATAAATACACCTACAGAGAAAATCACATTTCAAACAACTGAATGTCACTTAAGATTTCAAAATAGCACATGCCCATAGATTGACTGTGGTGTCAACACTTCTCATTAACTGGGATTGAGCTCGTTAACACCTGATCTACTTAAATAACCTGCCTGTCTCTGTCTTTTTACACTTTTTATTTATCCCAGCTTTGAAATTCCTCTCACTTCCTCCACCACGCTAATAACTTAACCTGATTAATGCAATATGACGATAGAAATCGCCACATGCAAATCCCTTTATTTGATTATGGTAATCGGGGTGAGGTCTTAATAAGTCGGAGCGTTACAAGATTAAATCAGACGCAAATCGTCTCAAACATTCAATTTGTTGGAACATTAAACTTCTTTCTTTAAAAAAAACTGCTCATTTTACGAGATGTTTACAAGACGAGCATCGCTCCGAGGGGCCACAGGCTGAAAAAATAAATATTCATTTCAGATTCAATGAAGAGATTACTTCCTGTTTATGTGATCTCAAGGTCAGACGCCGTGATTGTGCTGTAAACCCGATAATGTGAGAAGTTTTAATTTAATAGGCTGAACTGTTTGTAAGACGCCTGTAACCACACGGAGCTGTTTCCTCCTCCTCCTCCTCCTCCTCCTCCTCCCCCCCTCCACAGGAAGCACGATAACACCCAACTACCTTGACAACTCCACCTCCAACGTGGGACCCTGGTGCTCCTGTGCAGCGAGCGGAAACCACAGGGAACAGTGCAATGACTTCCTGACGTTTTTCCACGACAACGTCTGCCTGAGTGAGTACGAGCTGCGCACACACACACACACACACAGAGAGAGAGAGAGAGAGAGACCTCTGGCTACACAGTGACAATAACAATCCCGACAAAGAACCAGGACGAGAAGAAGGACGAGCGTGAGGATTAACAAAGTTGAATTTGTGAACAAAATAATCCGTCGCACATTCTTTGATGTGGTGCAACATCACAGTGAGACAGCCAGAAGGTAGTGGGGGGGGGCGTTCTCACACGTGAGTTGCTCTCAGCTGTTCATATTCATCCAACGGCTCAAATATACAGGAAACATATCATGGAGCCATCAAAGATTGATTTCAGGATTTACTCCATTACTCTGTGAAGTTACAGGAGGAGCTTGATTATTCACGTTGCGCTCAGTTTATTCTGTGAGAGACTGGAAGCAAATGAAAACAGTTATTAAGATTAGTGAAACATATTTTCATGCTGTTTGTCCAGTGGCTATTTCAATAGCAACCATTTCCCTGAAGCTGATCCAAACCTTATTAGTGCCTGAGCCCATAACCAAACCATTATTATACAACTGATTTATTTCCCAACAGGGATTTTTAATGGTTTTTTGTTCCGCAGCACAATAAATAAGTTACACAGGCAGTTATTCATGTCACATATACATCTGGGACTTTCCCAAACAGCCTATTCAACAATGTTTCCCCTCTGTTATGCTAAGGTGTGAACTTCTCTCACTTTCTTTCATTCTTCTTTTCCACAACACAAACACTTTGGAGGAGAGACTGACAGAGTTATCCACATTTTAAAAATTCACTCAGAGGGGAATACAAACACATGCCACAGAGTTATTGGAGAGAGGAAGTGTGATGGAGCCTAAAGGAGGCTGTGAAGGTCTGTTTCTTCTTGTGCGGGAAAATAACTTTTTCTGTCTGTAGATGAAGTCAGAGGAAACGTCCTGCAGACTTTGTCTTTGAAAGTCCGATGCTTCGCGGTCAGTGACACAACGTTTGTTCTCAAACAAACAAACCATCTTCACACAGCAAATGAATTGCACATTATCCTGAGTCGAACCTCCCGGAGTCGTCACGCGTGTTTTCCGGCCGGTTGATGGATGCCTTGTTTTTCTGCAAAACTGCTCATGTGCATCCTGCAGCCAGGACTCCGACTCGCTGAAGCAGCTCCTGTGTGCTGTTTACTGTAAGCTCCTTAGAGAGCCGGCGAAACAATCCTCAGACTGACTGGCCTCATTTCCCGGCGTCTGAGCAAAGAGACACTCCCCTCCTCCTGCCTCTGCAAATGGCTGAGGCCAAATAGCGCGTACGTGATAATAAGGATGAACAAGTTTCTAATGGGAAAGGCAATTCATGGACCAGCGAACCACGTCGGGCTCTCATCTCAATTGGCGTTCGGTCTCATTTGCCAGGCGACACTTCTATTTTGGGGAGAAAATATATGTAATGGTTTGGCAAGAGGAGTTTGGAATAAAGCCAATAATTGGGGAAATTAATCCGCCCCGAGTGCGCGCCTCAACGTTTCTTTCTTTTCCCCGCGTTCCTCGTGTAATCACAGCGAACAGAGAATCAGGCGTAATTTCATTCTGACGCTCTCCTGTCCGTCGGTGACGGTGCTGTTAAACAAGTGAGCAGCACCAACGTCAGTTAAATGAATCCTCCTGGTCTCTCGCATCTTTTTGTGACTGGATTCAGCATTTTTTTGCACACCGCCCCCCCCCCCCAGCGCTGTTGCTCTGGGGCCTGCTTGCTGAGACAGGACTTCAGATGGCCTTTGATGACTTTGTAATTGAGCGTAATTTGGTTTCCTGCCTCAGAACTAATGAGGTGGACAGAGAGAATAGTGGCAGGAAAGAATACGGTCGTTTGCAGACGGGGGGAGGGGAGGAGGAAATAAAAAAAGGTGCAGAGAACTCCACCTCTCTGGAGTGAAGACATTCAGGTTCTAAAAGCAGCTGTCACCTGCCGTACCTCCTCATCACGGCCGTAATAACCGCATCACTATGCAGAGTAGCAGCTCTGGACTCCTTCAAAGATGAGTGTGTTAGGAAAAAATGAGAGGACAGATGGAGCTGAGGCTCATTTGTTTCTGCAATTATTTAAATTTCCTCTGGAAGTTATATTTGTAGTTTAACAGGAGAAAGTTAGGGCGACCAGATCAGGAAGGTTGGGGACAGGAAGTGGGTCGGCCTGCACAGGATGTGCTCTGCGGCGTGGCTTCGGGTGCACCCACAAACTGGGTTACAAAAAAAAAAAAAAAAGCCCCTCGAGGGAGAAAGTCAAAGAGATTCGAGATGGCGGCGCTTAAACATCCGTGTCCAAACATTTACAAAGGAACTGTCACAACAGCTTACCGCTGAAGATATCAATTGGTTCTTCATCTCCGCGTGACGGCGGTGGAAGGGAGCGGTGGCGAGCAGCTGGAGTTGCACCCCTCGCCTCTATCATCCGTCAGCCTGCCAGGGGATCACTCCACGCTGCAGAGAGCTAACTGCACACTTTGAGCACGGTGGCACACTTTCCCACCTGTCCCACCGATGCTAATGACCCACAGCACCATTAGCATGCCGGTCCACAGCCTCTGCTGAAAGGCGCTGATGTAAACACACCCTCAGCCATGCTCGATTCTTTTCTCTTTTTTTTTTTTTTTTTTCTTCCTCGCTATTGACTCGTTTCTGTTCTGTTGCAACTTTCAGCTCCTCTAATTAGCTGCAGCGCTGGCAACAAAAGCGCGCAGGTCACCCGTCCACCTGCTCCATCTCTGTCGGGCAGTTACGCTCAGCGATGCACCAGCGGAGAGAGTCGAGTCAAGACTGCGCATTGATTGCTGCAGAATTTTGTTTGCAAAGGCGAAACACTTCAGGAGGATGGATCAATTTGTTATGACCCTGTGAGAAATCGGTATTTGTGTGTCACCCCGATACTTAACTGGAGGCTTTGAAATCCCATCACTAATAACCAGCCAGTGGCTTCTGAGTGTTTCTGCCGGGAAAAGATGGAATAATGGTTTGATTTTTACGTCTAAGCACCACATCCATCTCACAGTCTAAGCCGGGGACATTAACAGATGAATCTCTCATTCATGTTTTCATTTGAGCACATTATAATTGAAATGACTTTCATGCAAACGTAATTGCTGTCGAGTAGCCCATTAACTGAATGAAAATGAATGCTCATAGAATATTAATTCATCATACGATCATAAGTCATTCTGCTCGTGGAAATTCCAAGAACTTGATGGAATGCTCTTCCTCCTTTGGGTTGTATAAAACCATATAAACCCAGCAGACTGTAAATTATACATAGTACAGGATGCACATACTGTAGTATTCCTCCCAGTCATAGCCTACTTACTGTAAGTGGCCCATTTAAAAATGCATCATGATTATATTATCACATCATCACAGACAACTGGCAGATGAGAAATCCAAAGTCTGACTGATTATTTTAATTCATTTGTCGCGGACTGGGTCAAAGTCTTACTTTTCTTTTTCGGGGAAATTGAGGTTACAATGAGGCCGCGTCATCGTGCTGCTAATAAATATTTCAAAACCAATAAGACGTGTTCCTGTGTGTCTGCCGCTGCCTGAAATCAACTTTCTCATGCACTCGTGTTGGCAAGGACGACAACTACTGTCAGCTTCGGTCAGCTGATGATGGAATCTCGTTACGTTGAAGATAATGTTTCGCATCCAAACCTGAACATTCAACAATCTGCCATCAGTCCCCCGAAGAAACCAACAGTTAATTATAGCTAGATGCTATTTGTTTCTGCACCACTTTGCACACACTCATAAATATTTTAGGTTTTTTCTTCTTGTTATGATAAAGAAACATTCAGAGTTAGAACGAGGATAGATGTTTAGATCCGTGTTGAAAAATATAATTTGGTTCTTTCTCGGCCCATTTCTCACCTTCGCACCAAGTTTCGTGGAAATTCGTAAAATAGTTTTTGAGTAATGCTGCTGACAAACAAACTAATGAGAAGTGGTGAAAACATAAGCTCCTCTGTGGAGGTAATTATACATCTGAGAGCAACCGCTTGAAGATTTTCGCAGCAGTAGATGAAACCCTGCTTTTAGAGATTTGTCTCTGAATCATCTGGACTTTTGGTTTTAATAATTGGCTCAATGTGAAAATACGAGTAATAAAAAACCTCACATGTACCTGACAGAACGTAGTATTCGTACTTGTATTCATAAGGTTGTTGTCCTCTTGGCTCCACAGAACAAGCCACGACATCAACACACAGTATCTGGCTCTTTAGCTGCCGAGCGTTCCACACGGTGCTCTAGCCAGTCGTTAACTGTCTGTGCCATCGTCCGCAGGGACCAGGTAACGTAGAGTGTGTTCATCTCAGCTTGTTGCTGTAGCCGAACATGGCCGCCTGCTGCCGCGAGACACAAGTCGGATAAGATCATGTGTTTAAAGTAGCTACAAGCTCTATATTTAAATTAGTACTGGATCAAATGTGAAGTGGAAGGGCTCGTTCATCGAGATGAGTTTCTGCAGAGCTCAATGCATCTTCAGGCCATTGTTGGTTGAATGGATGAGAGTCTAAGAAGGGGTAATGAAAATAGTACAACAGTGATGTCTTCTGAAATGAATTGAAGTACAGTCTCTGAGTAAATGTCCTTTTTTTTTTTTTTTTTACATTCAGCCGCTGTGTTTGAGTTTAAAGCTTCGTTCCAGCTTGAGAAGCAGAAACTCTCTCTCCTTCAATCCGTGACATTTATTTATTCAAACCAGATGAACAATAGAAGATGGATTTTTACCTGCTCCGCTGTTGCGTTCACTTCACATCAGCGTCCATCAAACGTTCTCTAAAAGCTTGAAACTCTGAAATTACACCACATTTAAAAATCTGCTCAGGAAAGTGTTTTGAGTCGACAGCGGAGAGAAAGGTTGCGGTTTGACTGAACGCTGCTGGTGGCGACTGCAGGAGACAACTTTTCATTTTGGTGCATTTGTTGAACATAATTGTTTTGGGGCCGGTCGGCAAATCGAAATATATTCAACAGTAGCATTGTTTGGTGAGCGGATGTTATCATGACTCAGCTGTTCACAGTGTGTGTTTTCCTCCTGTGATGTCGGCCTCGTTTATTTTCTATTCAGTTTTTTTTTTTACACCGAAATCAATCACCTCCATGTAGATTATAAATCGCACGAGGTGTGAATTAGATTTGAGAAAACTAAGAATCGCCTTCGTTCCCTCGATGACGGTTGATCCATCATCAACTACAGGTGTTCTCGAGAGATTAGGCCCTGAAGGATTCTGGGAGGATTAATTGAGTTGATTGAATGTTTGTTATTGTGGAATTCCTGATTCACTTAAAGCAACAAGTTAGTAAGTGTTCGTGTCGAGAAAGAGAAACAAAGAGCCTCGTTAGAGCCCGATGCTAACGAATGCTAATCAAATGTCTTCGAACAGAGCAGGTGATTTAATATCATCGTCAATTCAAGCTCGGAGAACAAGGAACAATAATTACAGCGTGTTCACGAGCACGCGTGTTCACGAGCACACGTGTACACATCGTCATCGCCGATCATTAAATTACCTTAATTGCAAATTCAGCCAGTCACACAGAAGCAGGTTGTGTCTACGGTCCTCAGGAGACCCGACGACCTTCGTGCTCGTCGTAACATTTTTATCACTTTCATTAAAGTCGTGAGATAATGCATCTTTTCTCCAGTTCCTCAGGGAATCATTCATGGGTTCTTCAGAGCTCTGATATTTAGGAGTGTGTGTAAATTAATAATCTTCTCCTCTGTGGATCTTTTTCTTTTAACGTAGACTAAACTCTTCAACGCCTCATCCCCGCTCGCCCACACGACTCTTCTGCCTAATGATGTAATTTATTGCCCTAACTCTAATTTTTATTTGCATAGAATTTCCTGCATATCCCATGATTCATTGTGCTTTTTCAAAGAGGTAATGAGGAAAAACGTCGTGAAGAATTCGTCTTTAAATGTAAGAACCGCACAGATAACGACGTGTTGAAAATAAAAACATCTTTCCGACGTCTTTAATCAACCAAAGAACTATATCGTCTTTAGCTTTGTTGCTAGGCGACGGCCGTAAGGGCGGGTCCAAGCCGCAGTGACGCAATAGGAAGATCTTTTTTGCAGCGGTTAACGTAAACGAGTCCATGAGCCTGAGTTCATTGTTCATTATTGTTCATTATTTTCTCTTATGACCTGAGTTGTCCTCCAGTTGTTTGAGATGCAGTGAAGCTACGTGTGACTCTGGCCTCTGACATTTCTCTAATTAAAACCAAAGCCTCGCTCTGCCACTGACTCGGCTCTTTTCTGTTCGAGCGTCGGGATCTTCCAGCCTCAGTTTAGGTTTTTATACAGAGGAAAGTGGATTTCCTGCTCACACAGCCCTGGAGTGTCCCCTGTGTGATGGCAGACAGCCGTCAGTGCTCAACACTGCAGACCGCAGTATTTTTGTTGCCTGAGGAATAACGTATTTAAACTTATTCCCCGGACACATGAATAACATATGTTTCACATCTTTCAGGCTGCTTCTCACTGGAATCCTAGAAAATCTTTACATTTTGAAAATTCTATTATCCAGAAATCTGCTCTGTGTCGAAGGAGGATTCGCTTTTTCTTTTTAACCACCGATGCACGACTTCCTTTATTCACAAACACGAAATATAACTAGAATCAAATCCTCACTGAGGAATTATGTTTTCATGTTGTTGGAACATTTGTACATCTGCCATGCACTTGTGAACACGATATCTCCAGAAGGCCTGGAGGAAATGTCTTCACATTTAGCACAAACTTTCACTTGGACTCAAAGATGAACTGATTGGATTTTGGTGGTCGAGGGTCGAAAAGTAAAAGTGCTGTGATCTGTGTACTGCAGGGTGGTAATTCTAATATTCTTTAGTAATCTGTTTAAAAAGTACTCAGTCATTCAGTCTGCAAAAGGAAACAAGAGGGGGTAGAAATTAGGAAAATGTGACGCTCGTGTCTCTTTTTAAACGTCTCTGCCCTTCATGTGTTCCAGAAAATTCCATCCTGGCCTTCGGAAATGGATCAGATGTGAAGACGGGTGCCGGTCAGCCCGGGATGCCGAGTCCAGCGACGGACAACCAGAGCCCGTTCTTGGCAACCACCGCCCCAGGTGTCTCCATGGAAACAGAGCAGAACATTCTGCGAGCACAGATACCCACTCAGGTGAGACTGAAGTCTGATGCAAAACTTTCTCCCACAGAACGGCAGCAATGGAGACAGCCTCAGTCAGAACTGGGTCGTGTTTGTTTTAACCTTGAATCTGTGGGAGTCAGACTGCGTCGGGTAGAAAGTCAGTTACACTCAAGTTCAGATGGAGAAAACTCAAACTGGACATTTGTTACTCGGCGTTAATGATGACTTGAAATCTCAATAATGTTCGTTTCACATTCACCTTTATCCGACGGATGCTTTTGTCCAAATCAATCACTCGAAAACATCAACAATGAAACTAGATATTTTGCAAATGATTAAATTCTTCCCCTCGAAAGTTATTTAAAATCGAATCTTCGTCCTGAAGACGTCCGTCTGTGTATTTCTATATAAACTGTCAGTGTAGACGTATAAAACAACCGTCCCATGTTCACGACCGCTTCATCAACAGTATAAACTCTGTTAACGTTGTTAATGTGGCAAACACAATGAAGAAGTAAACATCAGTTTTAATGCAGACAATCTGTTTCTGCAGAATTTCACATTTTAATCATGAGGGGAAATTAATAAATAATAAACTTCATTTCAGGCTGAGGGAGTTTGTTCCATGCATGTGGTTCCTAATGGGAACTCAAAAAACACTGCAGATAACATAATTGACAATCTGCCAGCAGATATAAATAAACTTCACAGGCTAAATGAATAACTAGGCCACTTGCTTATTTCCAGAGGGGGGAAGAGAAGAAATGAGCCAAAAGCCCAAATTACACGTTGTGGCCTCGGGGCTCGTGATTTATCCCACGCAGCATCACGCAGCGCTGTTCCAGCTCCGTGTCGTCGCCTCGCTGCGTCTGACACGACGGAGCGGAGACGCAGAGAAGTGACTCTGAGGTAAACGTGGACATTCTGTCACCTGAGTATAAACACAGTGTCATCGAGGCGACGCCCGTCAGAGAGAGAGAGAATCCGGTGAATGAGCTGTGGACAGTTTGCGTTGGGTCAAATCATCCGACTCATTTCAATGATGGATCAACTGCAGTTAAATCGACACCGCAGACGTTTCCGTGCATTTCAATCAGCGCCGGATCAAACAGAAGACGAGCGAAAAACAACCGCGCCGCTGAGGAGAATATTAAGTAACCATGGTAACGCCATCTGATCTCTCAGGGTCACACGTCGTCTCCTGACGACTGAGTCAATAGTTTGAAGTTTTACGCTTTTATTAAACTATGACATTTTAATGGCCACTATATTATACTATGACATGTTTGGTGCCTCCCCACAATATATTTTTATGACTTACTGAACTCTGACATTTTTATATTTTTGATGCCTCAACAGACTAAAGATATTGTTTTTCTTACTATACACCACCACATTTTTATGTCTTAGCGCTACAGGCAACGTCCGTCCTGATCCCTCACGTGTCTCTGAGGTTATTTCTCCTGTAAACAGGAGCTGATTGGTGGTTTTACTGTTGTCGAGGGTTGAGAACAATACGAAGAACTGTGTGAACATCGGCTACAGAAGCAACATTTGATTGGTTGATTGACTGAGGGGTGTAAGTTGGAGCAGTTTCAGGAATTCACAGAGAATCATGAGCTTCAGTTCAACGTGTTTTTAATTATTTTTATTCTTCCTGAATGAAAAGTCGTCAGTAAGTTCACCAGATAGTTTGGGAAGAACTGAATCCAACATCAATCAATCATAAATCTTATTTCATGATCATATGTTGATTCTGTTTCTAATATTTTTTTAGTTTCTTAAATCGTTTCTCTATTTTAAGAGTAATCGATGTCTGCTGGAGAAAAGAGAAGGAAACGATGTAAACATGGAGCGACTGAAGAGTTTATTGTAAATATATATGTTTATGTTATATATATATATATGCTCGTCTCACTCTGGAGCCGTGGATGTGGATCGTTTGTCCGTCGGTCTGATCTGTTTGTTTTTTCAGCCGCTCGTCCTGAAACAAATCTGCGGGTGGGAAACTAACGCAACTCTCTCCTGTTTTCCTTCAGGTCAACGAGAACGACAGATTGTGGGGCGACGAGGGAGACTCCACTCTTCCGTCTCCGGGCCTGTCGGACCGCGGGGCCGAGCCCGTCCACCTGTCCCTGCTGCTGGGCCTCGGCTGGCTGCTGCCCGCCGTGCTGCTGCTGCTGCTCTCCGACTAATACGAGGCCTCGCTCACCTTGGCCTCCATGGACACTACTCCAGACCTGGGGTGGGGGGTGGGGGGGAGGGTGGGGGGGAGAGGAGAGAGGGAGAGAGAGAGAGAGAGAAACAGCCATTTCTATGTGTCAAATGACTGATGGGGG